TAAAAATGAACGTGAGGCTATATCTCCGCAACGGTTTGGCGTATTGAGACCAAACTTGGTGTGTGATATAACAAGCATGACCTGAGACTACCTGCAGTGTTTCGGCGCAGTGCCCCCTAGTGGTCAGGAGATATGAAAAATGCATATTTTTGCTTATAACTTCTGAATGGTTTGGCCAAAATTCACAAAACAGGTATCTTTAGATTCGGTGCATCATGCCGAGTCGAATCATACCAATTTTTTCCATGTCAGCCATTTTGGGCGTCGGCCATTTTGAATTTAGTAAAAAAATGCAATATTTTAAGAACGCTTAGACTTTGTTATGACGAAAATCGGTATGCATCTTCGGCACCGTGCCCTGATGGTACACAACATTTTTTTAACTTCCCGTCACTCGTTGGTCCGATTTTCACCAAAATCGAGTCAGATGATCTTCAGACTGTGCTGACAAAATATTATGGATTTCGTGTCGATAAGCGAAACCGTTTTTGTACAGCGCTGCTACAAATTTTATGCATGTTGCCAAAATGATTCTAAGGCTATCTCTTCAAAGCTTTGACATAATGACAACAAACTTTGTGTGTGCCATTGCCACCTCACACAGATGATAAGCCATTTAATCACATTACTAGTGGTTGTATTTATGATTTTTCAGCCATTTCAATTACAATCATCCTAAAATTGCTTTTATTACTCATTGTTGTATTTGGTCTGATGCTCCATGCCATGCTTAGCTCCTCAATTAGCCTCTGGAGTGCTTGGCCCCGTGATTGCTGCTTGCAGCTATATTTATTATTATTATTCTCCAAAATGAATGGCATTTTTGAGGGCCTAAACATGCTCAAAAAGTCACGAAACTTTGCACACGCCCCAGAACTGGCGAAAATTTACATCTGATATGGGTTTCAGAAGGGGGTGTGGCAAAATGGCTTGACAGTGCCACCTATACACTTTCAGCGAAGTGCGCCTCAAGCTACGTTTTACATACTTGTACGAAAATCGGTATACACATATAACACACAAATACCTACAAAAAAGTCTCTATTTAAGTCTCTAAAGTAGTCTATTTTACATTTTCTCAGCAAATTTTGTGTCATTTTTGCCATTTTCAGGTGTCATACATTAACAAACTCCTCCAAGAGATTTGTTCAGATCAACAACAAATTTGGTCAGTCTAATCGAAATCCCTTTGTGACGTTAAATTGCGAAGATCTTGAGTTTCGTTGTCAGTGATGCGCGAGTCAGACAATTGTATTTACACTGCAATAAATATAGGCCTATCTGTTTCCACTACAATAGCTAAAAGATGTTCACCCTATCAGCAAAACTGCATAAATTAAATTAAATTTGAATTGTTTAAAACAATCTAAATATTACTTGGTCAGTGGAAATGAATGAGATTTAAAAGTTTTTTTTATGGATATTTTGATATATTTATTCTAAAACATAACAAGGATACTGGATGATTTTTGCAATAAAAATGAATGTGTATGTAACAAATGGCATTAATAGTCCGTATCCCCTTAATGTGTTGTACCTTTGACGGTGTTAAACATGGTGTCACGTGGATGGGAATATGCATGGAAATTATATGCAGATGAGGTTATGCATAGTAAAACTAGGCACCATATAAGGTGATTTCGGGGAGGAGACGGGGTGGAGATACACGTACGCACAGTCTTCATTTATAAAGAGTTTTTTTTGCAGGTTCTGGCATACGCTTGGTTTTATAAATCTGAAAACTTTTGTGCATATGCAAAATCTATCATTTGTGCGTACGTACACTTTTTGGATGAAATCTACGGAGAGTTTTATAAATGAGACCCCTGATGCTGACCTAATGGGCTAATTATATGGGCCATTTGAGTTACTGTTGAGTATCTGAGGCACAGTCACAATATAAATGTATCTGAATTGAAGTACACATAATCGTTCCATTTTTAAATCTGTCTGTCGAAAATTCTATCTTTTAAAATTACTAAACTAAAACTTTTGTTTACTGACTAAATGTGACTGTGTGTGTTTTGTATTTTATAGTGTGGACCATGGAGGAGAATCCAGGATTACAGAAGGACTACACAAATGTACGTCTACAAACACACACACACACAGTTTTAGTGATTGTTGTTGTGTTATAAATATCTCTGTTCTTGTGTTCAGATGCCTGTTTTCTCACGCTGGATCCAAACACAGCATACACTTGTCTCATTCTGTCTGATGAGAACAGAAAGGTTACATGTGTGGATGAGGATCAGCTGTATCCTGATCATCCAGACAGATTTAATGGGCATCTTGAGGTGTTGTGTAGAGAGAGTGTATGTGGACGCTGTTACTGGGAGGTTGAGTGGAGTGGGTGTGAAGTGTTTATATCAGTGTCATATAAGAGCATCAGCAGGAAGGGACGGGGTAATGAGTGTGTGCTTGGGCGTAATGATCAGTCCTGGACATTGTTCTTGTCTTCCCCTAGATCCTCATTCTTACACAATAATATCGAGACTGATCTGCCTTTAGTAACAAGCAGTAGAATAGGAGTGTATGTGGATCATAGTGCAGGAACTCTGTCCTTTTACAGCGTCTCTGACACAATGAGCCTCATCCATACAGTCCAGACCACGTTCACTCAGCCGCTCTGTGCTGGGTTTTGGGTTTATATCGAATCATCAGTGAAGCTGTGTTGATGAATCAGAATAGACTGACGAGACATTCTACCCGTAATGCTTTAAGCTGCACGATAAATCAGTAATAGTAGTAGATGTTATAGAGTCTCTTATTTTCTGCTGTGGATTATTTGTGTTCACATAGCTTCACTGAACAGCATCCATTATAGCTTATAGCCCAAAAGTACACATACTTGGAGAAATATTGATATATTTACACCTGCTGCAGAGGTGCAGTTATATTTCATCATGTATTTTGTCAAACTAATTCACACAAGGTTGCAAGAAAATGCTTTGTCTTCTAGAAAGACTTTTTATAAAAGGCGGGTTAATGTATATTGGAATCAAAGCAGTGTGGATTGGTAGGCCACGTATTGCCAGAATAAAGGCTAATAATGGCTGGATAAAAACAAAAGAATAATGATAAAGGAATAATGAGGATTATGTTTCATACCTGGCAGAGGTGTGAAAGGTTTGTCGAGTGTGAACAATAGAAACATGAATGGAGCAGTTTGCCGAGCCAGACATCAGGCAATAGCATGCAGGATGTTACAATCCCCATTCATCAGGCTTGTCATCAATGAACTACATTTCCCAGCATTCCTCTTGATTACCACCTGCACTCTGTCAGCCATCACATCTGCCACAGATTACCCTCTCATCAAGACTCACATTTAAGCAGTAACGTTTCCGTGTACTGAACAAATACAGCATTTTTTTTAACCACTGCACGAGCGGAACTTCACTAGAAACTTCCAGTTTTATTTATTGTTACATTTTATAAGAAACAAAATCTCATCTTTAAAATTGTCATTTTTTTCCGGAAATTCAAACAATAAATGCCGTTTTGACGCTCTTTGATGTGGCGTGACAGATCGCTATAAACACCTCAGTTCAAATGGCAGCGCGAGCATCCCTTCCTCTTTATTACTAGATTTAATGCAAAATAAACATGAATGAACATCTCATGCTCATCTAATCGCTCAATCAGTGTTTCGACTGCGGAAAGACGGCAATAAAACAGCTTGTAAACAAAACATCACGTAGCATTCCATTTACCTCAGGCAAGTCATTAGTGTCCACAGCTCGTTAGTGCGCTATAAATGAAGTCTAGAGAAGAGCATTTTGCGAAATATTAGACTATATACTCATTCAATTTTAACATTTAACATTATGACCAGTGACAGGTAAAGTGAATAACAATGATTATCTCTTCATCACGGCACCTGTTAGTGGGTAGGATATATTAGGCAGCAAATTTACATTTTGTCCTCAAAGCTTATGTGTTAGAAGCCAGAAAAATGGGAAAGTGTAAGGATTTGAGCGAGTTTAACAAGGACCAAATTGTGATGGCTAGACGACTGGGTCAGAGCATCTCCAAAACTGCAGCTCTTGTGGAGTGTTCCCAGTCTGCAGTGGTCAGTGGTCCAAGGAAGGAACAGTGGTGAACCGGCGACAGGGTCATGGGCGCTCAAGGCTCATTGATGCACGTGGGGAGCAAAGGCTGGCCCGTGTGGTCCGATCCAACAGACGAGCTACTGTAGCTCAAACTGCTCAAAGTTAATGCTGGTTCTGATGGAAAAGGTGTCAGAATACACAGTGCATCACAGTTTGTTGCGTATGGGGCTGCATAACCGCAGACCAGTCAGGGTGCCCATGCTGACCCCTGTCCACCGCCAAAAGCGGCAACAGTGGGCACATGAGCATCAGAACTGGACCACAGAGTAATGGAAGAAGGTGGCCTGGTGATGAATCATGTTTTCTTTTACATCACGTGGATGGCTGGGTGCGTGTGCATCGCTTAACTGGGGAACACATGGCACCAGGATGCATTGTTTGAACCTGTTCAAACAATATGGAATAAAGTTATTAACATTGGAGAAACTAGATAAAGAGAATAAGAACAACGAAAAAAGGGGAAAGACCACCTCCATATGCTCCTTCCTGAGATCTAACTGTAAATCAAATGCCTTTAGTACAGGGAAAATTTTATTTAAAGGGGCCAATAGAATTTGAGGGGTATGTATAAGACAGTAAGCGAAAGAGGTAAACAGAGCTGCAGAGATGAACATAGGAGAATGGTAGAGAACAGGAGAGACAGAGACATACACACAAGCCTGAGGGAGGAGCTGGAGCCATATAAGGAGATATTAAGAACATCAACACCAGTACCTCGACCAAAAAGAAAAGAAAGAGAACCGCCCATGAGGTGGAATTCTCTGAAACGAGAGCTGGATGAACTAGAAAGTGGATGTGAACCAATGCTGCTATGCCCAAGCCCACATTATTATGTTCAGAGGAAGCAGTACAAGCAAGTAGCTGAGACGCTGGTCATGCAAGATCTGGAATATCCAGATGACTGATTCCAAGTTCTTCAGCCGTAAAGTCAAAGAGGAGTAGAAGAACACAAGCCAGTAAGGACATCGAAATGGGGTGGACCCCCAACAGCTGAGTGCCCAATGCTCATCAAGCAAGGTCACGTCCAATACATACCCTGGGCAAGTCAAGATCTGGGGTCTCATTTATTAATGTTGCTACGCACAAAATGGGCATAGAAGTATGCGTACGCAATTCTCAATGCACATATCAGTGCAATTCTCAATGCACGCACCGTACGGACATTCTAGACAATGCGTACGCACTCTTTTTCCTGGAGTGAGAAAACTAATGAAGTAAACAAAGATTTTAAACTCTGTTTTCATTTTGATATTCACATTTACATTAAGTGTTCCACTCTCATTAATGGAGATAAGCACTGAAATTACATGAAGTCATTACGCACAAGTTAAACAAAAAATATATGAATTTAGACATTAAGGGTGCTTTCACACTTGGTTCGCTTGCCTGGTCCGAACCCGAGTTCGATTGCTTGCCCCCAATGGACTGCGTTCATATTATTTTATTTGGGTCCGAACCGCGGTTCGTTTGCGTCATCAAGCCAGCAGCTGTTTACCCCGTTGCTTAGTAACAGCGGCGCAGGAGAAGGCGGCAAATGCATAACATTGCTCTCTGCACTTTTATATATTTACGTTTTTGAACCGTTCGTTTTGTTTTGACTATAAAGCTTCGGTACATAACGGCACTTACGTCTGTCTTACGAATGCACTGCAAATGATCTAAAGAACGCTGAAGGCGAACAGAAATGAGATATAAAGCTCTCTGTTTGTAGCGCGTCAGTCACGCTTGTCAGGAAAGACGGAAACACACACACAAACACACATTTTTATCAAATAATACGTCATTTATAGCGGTTGACTTTCGCGATTTGGTACGATTGCGTTCACATCAGCAGCGAACCGTACCGGAGTTCACATGAACCGTACCCCAGACCACCCTTTTTAAGCGGACTCGGGTACGGTTCGCGGGTGCACACCCGAGTTCGGAAGACAGCGTTCACATCATCCAAATGAACCGAACTCTGACGTCAATCGAACCCGGGTGCGCACCAAAAGTGCTAGTGTGAAAGCACCCTTATAGTGGATGCGCTTGATCACTTTTCCTGTGGCGTGCTATGTTTTAATGACAGCGAGGAGTGCTATAGGTGCACAATAATTAATCTTTAAACTAAACTGCAGATCTCATGTTATGAGAAAATATTTTTAGCGATAACAATGATCAACGATGCGCACTCACTTGAATGGTCCATTGTCCAGCTTGAGTAGGTCCAATGATAATAGCTTACTGTACAATTGCAGCTGCACAGAGGTGTTGATGTCGTGTGAAGGCATCTCCACAACATTATGAAAAATACCACTGTATTTGAAGGGCACAACTTGAAGAAAATGGTAATTTGCACGTTCCCTTTTTAAAATATTTTGTCAGTGACTCGCCAAGACAGACAATTCTATTTGCACTGCAATAAACATAGGCATATCTGTTTCCACTAAAAATAGCTAAAAGATGTTTACCTTATCAGCAAAACGGCATAAATTTAATTTGAATTGTTTAAAACGATTGAAATACTATTTGGCCAGTGGAAAAGAATGAGATCAACTTTATTCTAAAATATTTATCTGGGAACTATTTTCTGAAAACTTTTGTGTGTACACAAAATCTAGCTTTTGTGTGTATGTAAACTTTTAGGATTAAATCTACGGAGAGTTTTATAAATGAGACCCCAGGATGCTTTGAATTCCCGCCTTCCAGACATTTATGAAGGTGCCGGAAAGTAGATCAAAACATTTGAAGAAAAAAAACAACTGGAAAACTTCTGACACTGGGTGACATCAAAGCCCTGCTCGCTAAATGCCTGGGAGACTGCAAGATGAATGACGTTCTCAAGCAGTCCGACCTTCTCCAAGCTGTGGACAGGCCTCAAGCAGATGGAGTCACCTTTGAAAAACATCGAAGAAACATATGGAAGACCCTGAGGGCAGAATACCAAATGTAAACTGATCCAGGGTTTCTAAAAGGAGAGCCAAAGAGGGAAACTGAGAACCTCACCACATACATTCAAAGATAACTGAGACGCTGGAAAAACGAAATGGAGAGAGATCCAGAGCATGACAAGGTACTGACAGCACTCTTCAGGTCCGCCATTGTGGAAGCCATGCCTGCAGAAGTAAGAGCGAAGCTGGAGGACGTGGTGGGCCTGAAGACAAACCAAGAGTTCAGAGACTATGGGGTTCATGCTGTGGAAAGGTACAGAAGACATGAACTAAAGGTGAAGAACCAGGAGAAGGAGCTGCAAAGAAAGCTGACTCCGCTACAGCTTGAGGAGCTGCTCAACAAGAAGAAAAAGGTTCAAGCGGTACAGAAGGAAGACCAGTCAGCAGTAATGGCACCTGTCACTTTGGTGCCCGTCAATGCACCTGCTGGAACAGTTAATACACCGCAAGGACCAGCACCAGTTGTCATCTATCTCGAGCCAGAACAGTTGAACAACAGAAATTGGAATAGACGACAACAAGAGGGACGTGGCAGGGGAAGAATTAACAACAATCAACAGAGAATAGGTGGCCCATCAGGAGTGTGTTGGGGATGCAATCAACCTGGACACAGCAGGAGAGCTGCCCCATCAA